AGAGCATCAAGGATTGGTTGAAGGATATGGGATTCATGAATTAATATGTGGATACATGTGTGTGTCGTGCCAAGGCGAAATCAAAAGGAATCAAGAAGAAGAGGAGTTACTAAATTAGGGTTTTAGTGTAAAACCCCCTAATTTAGGCCTAACTTCCAAGCCAGATAAGTCAAAATGCAAGTTTCAAATGAAGTCTTGGTCAACATGAAACTTGTATAACATATCAATAGCTTTAATTTGAGTACTATAAGTCTTCGAGGAGATTTATAGAACTCAAGTTATGGTTCTTGCAAGTTATGGGTCCCTAGAGGATACTGAAATTTATCTGTGAACGTTACTTGACTTCCAAGCAACTTTTTCCCATCAAGGAGTTTTCAAATGGATTCTTGGCCAACATAAGAGTTGTAGATCTTGATCTTAGCTTTAATTTGAGTACTAGAAGTCCTCAAGAGGATTTGTAGAACTCAAGTTATGGTCTTGGCAATCCAGGGGTATTTTGGGAAAGTTGAATTACAGGTCATTTTTGAGCATAGGTCAAAATCTCCATGTTCCACTTCTCAAATGAAAAATTGTTCAACATGGAATGTTCTTAAAATGATGTTTATAGGTCAAATAAGTCATCATGGTGGATTGATCGGCTTATTTCAAAAAAGTCACTTAAAATGGCGTAAAAAAAGGGAATAAGTCAAATAAAGTTTGGTGGAAAAAATCAAATTTTGGGTTAGAGGTCACAAACAAGCCATATGACATACCAATTTGATTGTAAAATGCATTTTAAAGACAATGGAATTGCCACAATTTTGAATTGAGGGTTATTTCAAGGACTTGCTTTGTAAATTGGTTACTTGAACCATAAGGCACAATTACAAAAACTTCCAAGCAAATGCAAGGCTCCTTTCCATCCATACACCTCCAATATCTCATTTGGAGAGAATTTAAACTCATAACCAAGTGAATTGCAAGCCAAAAACATGAGATGGTATGTGCATAGCATAAGAAGAGATTTTCATGACATGAGAAGCTGATTTTCTCCTTGGATCAATCTAGAACTTTCTAGGGTCTTCAAATACATTCTCCTTGGATCAATCTAGAACTTTCTAGGGTCTTCAAATACTTTCTCCTTGGATCAATCTAGAACTTTATAGGGTCTTCAAATACATTCTATATATACTTGTGAAGAGGTTCAAAGCAAGGGTTGGTGATTCATTTGTGCAAAAAACACGGATTGACATTGGAGTTTGGAAGAGAAAAAGTGAGAGATCAAAGCATTTTCAAGAGTTATCAAGAATTTAATCTTCTCCAACAAACTTCAACAAAGGTTTTCCACACTTTTAGGCAAGAAAAAACGAGCTCCAACTACTCCGTTTCGACGCTCCGAAGCCGGTATGTGAAATTTAATTTAATTCATTTTCGTTCTTTTTTTTCTGTTTTAATAGCTGTTTGGATTAATTGTGTTAAAAATAGTAAAAATGATCGAAAAATTATGAAAACTTTTTATGTATATCTTGATTGACTTAAGAAACTGTAGGAGTTGAGTTTGCATTTTTCAGATTTTATTTGAATTAGTTACGAATTTTCTTTTGTGCTAATATCCATTGTTATGCATAATTGATATTGCTGTTTGTTTGATTTTGTTCTCTTTGATGCTTTATTCTTTTGAGCTGATTCTTTCGATATGATTTATAGGAAATCCATAGGTTTCCCCAGGAATTTTCTTAGAATTTATAAAATTGATTAGATTCTGTTTTAGGCGTGTAGTTTAGAGCTTTCCCAAATAATGGTTTCCCATGACCAAATTTCATTTAGTAATTGTTTAGATGACCTAGAAATTGATTTAGGTCCTGATTCTGGAATGTTAGAATGTTCAAACATGCATGTTCATATAGGAATTTTATTAGAATCTTACAATTTAGTTTGCTATTTTTTTTTGGGTTTTGCAAATTTGGTTGATATTGGTGTGTTTCCCACTTTGGATGTTGCTTTGTTTGCTTGGGTTTTGGGTATTTCTATGGGGTGCGGGGCTTGAGCTTGGCTTGTGGAGCATGGAGGAAGCGTGTGAGAAGATTGAAGACAAATAAAGATGCTTGGAGCTTGGGGATTCTTGTGCTTGAAGATGGTTTTTGAGGACATAGGAAATAGGGAAAATAGGCAGAGCTTTAGATTAGACTGAATTCTTCCACAAACATGGAAAGCATCTTGTGCTTCCATTTCTCCCAATGACTAAAAGTCCTTCTAAGATATTCACATCTCTCCTTTGGAGGGATAAGTGGCTTATCTTAGCAGTAGAACTTTGAGGGAACCAGTCTCTCATGATGATAAACACTTATAGGCTTCCTTTAGTTGTCAATAAGCTGTTTTATCATTCCAACTTATTCTGTTAAGTGATTCTCTTCTGGAGTGCTGGCCTTGAAGATAGAAGTTCACTGAGGATAAAGTTCATTGCATTGAAGATGGGAGAAGGTGAAGCCTGTACCTGTCAAAGCTGGATATTTGCTGGAATTAGGATTTTACTGTTGTCTGAAGCTATCAACTGTTGGGGTTCATTGTTGGCTCAAGCTTGGTGTTGCTTGGAGTGTAGGGGATAATTGAAGAGTTGATTTTGGGGTTCATTTGAGGATGTTACTGTTTTGCAGTTAATCAACTGTCAGAGTTTGATGTTTTTCAGAGCTGCTGCTGTAGGAGCTGGTGGGCTGTCAGAGCTGGTTTTGGGGTTTTATTTTTCTTTGCTGTATTGTTTGTTAATTTTCCCCCTTAGGTTTGAAGTGAAGTTGTTTCACTTTGCCTATTGTTTTCTCAGGTTCGAGGTTGAGTGGGACTCCCTTGCCTCGCTTGTACTGCTGCATCTCATGCATTTTACTGCTTTAATGTATATATGTTGTTTCTTTTCCGTTTATCCCCTAGGATCTCATTTTCTCTCTGTGCAAGAGAGAAATATGACAGACATTAGGTTTTAACCCATGCATGATAACATTAGGGTAGTTTTGATTCCCTTTCAACCCTAGGATTTTTTAGATTTCTTTCTCTTCTATCGCAAAAATCATTCAAAACACAGTAATAAGATTTTAAACACCAATAAAAGACAGTTCTTACGTAAAAAGACTGAAAACCAATCAAAATGTCATTTTTGTCCGCTTAGACCCGTAATCAGGAGAAAACCTTTTTCAGAAGGATAAAAAACTGTCAGACAAATCTGTGTCTTCCGTAGCCCGAACTACGTTTGCTCTGATCTTTCATGCTATATGAAAGTACGTAGGCATAGGATGCAATATCCTAGCGAGCAACCTTCCCCTCCTTTCCCGTAGGTAGGCGAACTACGTTGACTCTGATTTCTCGTTTCAGACGGGAATACGTAGGCATAAAGTGCGATACTTTGCCGAGTCATTTTATTTTTCTTTTAACCCCAAACCTGTAGAATAGATAGAATAACAATCCGTACTAGAAAACAAGCGTGGATCCCGTCGAGTACGACGGACGTGAGGGGTGCTAATACCTTCCCCTTACGTAACCGACTCCCGAATCCAGGATTTGGTTGCGACGACCATTCCTTTCCCGTCTTTGCGGTAGGTTTACTTCGAGCGTTTCCTTTCCCTCTGTTGGGATAAATAACGCACGGTGGCGACTCTTCTGTTCAGCCGGCGCCGATTTTCGCAGTAGCGACACTAAGGTGAGTCTTTTTATTCTCACTTAACTAATGGTATGGTTTTTATCGTTAAATAACAAAATCAAAATCAACGAGAAGATATTCTTCATTCTAACCTCCTTTCATCTTTAAAAAGAAATTTAAAAACTTATCTTCAAGTGGTAGAATGATTATCTTCATCTAGTGAACCATCTGAGGGTGATTGGTTAAACTAGAAGACTTCTCAATAATCTTGAAGTAAACTCTCGCTCTCGTCGAATACGCCGATGGTTATTAGACACACAACTTCACCTTTTTGTAATGAAAGTACAACTAACTGAGTTGAGATGCGCATGGTTTGACAATAGGAATTGAGTCGATTTAATCATTTCGAAGAATACTTAAATCATGTCACGCCCCTTTTAAGTATAGGGTAAGCCCCTTATTATTCTGTCGCACTACTCTGACATTCCCTGCAGTTAAGATATAATTATTGACTTCTAATATTCAATTCTTTGATTAATAATATATTACCATTGTGCATGCCTAGTCAATGATAATTTTTTTCAAGCTACGACACATCTTGATTGAAATAGGATGAATTGTGAAACTATTCCCGCAAACTTCTTTTAGGACAGTCTCTCCAAACTTGAGTCATGGAATATATGTAACCTTCATTCGAGCGAAAAGTACTTCTTCTGCTATATCATCCGACTTCAACAATTCAATTTTCTCTTCCAAACATCTTTAAGATTCGAATTAGGTTTTACTGACACTGAATCACTAAATCAAATAAGTAGAACTAATTTAAATTTACATAACAACTCAATTAAATATAAAATCCAAACAGAACGAGTGTTTAATTAAAAGGAAGATCTGAACTCTAAAGTACACCCAGTTCAATCTTTAATTAATAAAAGAGTATAAAAATAACATTGTTTTTAATAAATTTGTTAAAAATAAGAAAGAGAAAAAAAAAAACAAATAAACTCTTACAAAAAAAAATTGATCCAAAACATTCACTTACTAGTGCTCACTAACCTACATCAATATATAGTCAATAATAGATTCAAGTAATATAAAATTGCTTCTAACCCAACTTCATATTTATATAAGTAATTTAAAAAGATTTGAAAATAAAAAACCCATGATATATTTTTAACCTTATGTATATGCTATGAAGATATTGCATAGTTGTCTACAATGCTAGCATGTCCACAAAATGGGGAACACTGTAAATATCCCCTCCAACCATACCCTTTCATGTCATTTCCAAATTAATATCATTTCATATTTTCACTCACTCATTCATTATATAGTTCCCATAAACACTTACACAATAAATAACTTAACAGAGAGAAAATAAATAAAAATAATAATAATGGAAGGAGGAGGAATGTTATCATCATCATCATCACCACATTCACAAAACTATATCTACAGAGAGTGTTTAAGAAACCATGCAGCCAGCCTCGGAAGCTACGCAACCGACGGCTGCGGAGAATTCACCGTCGACGACACTTCAGTATCCGCAGCCAACAGTCTCCAATGTGCAGCCTGTGGCTGTCACCGGAACTTCCATCGCAAGATAACCGCGACGTACGCGACGATGGCGAGAGATAACGCAATCGTCGCAATGTCGGATCAGGTGATGGAATATTCCGGTGGTGGAGATGGGAGGAGGAAGAGGTATCGGTCGAAGTTTACGGCGGATCAGAAGGAGAAGATGCTGGGATTTGCGGAGAAGCTAGGGTGGAAGTTGCAGAGGAAGGAACTTGATGAAGAAATTGAAAGGTTTTGTGAAAGTGTGGGAGTGAGTAGACAGGTTTTTAAGGTTTGGATGCATAATCATAAGAATTCTTGTTTCTCTAATTCTTCTGATCCTTCTGCTGGTAATGCTAATTCTTCTCTTACTCAGTAGTTGTGTGTGTCAAGGAATTTGGAAAATTAATGTAGTATTTTTATTATTGCTTTTTTTTTCTTTTTTTTTTCTTCTTTTTTTCATTATGACTTGTGTGTAATAATTTTTTATGATTTATTTTTGTTTGTTTCAGGATTATTTTATTTGTTTTTTTAGATGCATGTTTGATCTATTACACAAAAATATTATTATATTTAAATGGCTAGTCTAAGATCAAACTATCTATAAGAAAATGTTTAGATATTGAGAATTCTACACCTAAAAATTTGTAATCTTATTTGATTTAAGGGATTAGTCTACTAAGTTATGTGTCGCATGAATTTAGATTACATCTAAAAAATTCTAAGTTTGCATGACAAAATTAGTTTCATTTTCAATAGATCTTGATCTTTCTTATACACCCCTCATTTTCAGCATTCTTTTAGGTTTGTGGCGAGAATATAAATGATGGATTATATAGTTTGATTTAGATATCATATTAAAATATGTGGAGTATGTGGGTCAGATCTAATTTATTTCTACAAAGATTGAGTTAAATTCAGCCACAATTCTTAAATTTATATTAAAGTTTCGTTTAAAATTTTTGTTATTTTAGTACTTATCATGTATGTTTGCATCAAACTTAATATTTTTAAAAGTGAAGAGACTGTTAAGAGTCTCATGTACATATGTTTATAAGTGGAAAATTTTTCATCTTTCTGATGAGTTAGGATAAATTTCAATTCTAATATGATATCATAGTAGAGTCTATTTGATCAGACCGTGAACTTTTCATCGGTAATATTGATGCACCAAGTTCAGTAATATTGGGTGTGAGGTGAGAGTGGAGTGAAGACATGCATTGAGAAAATCTCAAAGTCTTATATCACTAAAAAAAAAAAGTTTGAAAATGTAACCTCTCACCTTACCAATTATTTGTAAAGTTATTTGTGAAATTGACTTAGGTTATTCTAATAGTAATATTTATATGGCTAAGCTAAGATAAGAAAATGTTTCATCCTAGATAATTCTATGCTTTTAAAAAACTTAATGTTATGCGATTTAAGGGATTAGTGTACACAGGTAAATGTTGCATATATCCATAATATTACATCTAAAAATTTGTAAGTTTGTATTTGTTTGACAAAATCAGTTTCATTTTCAATAGATCTAATTGCAATTAACTCTTTCACACTGCACTTGCAACATGATAATAAAGGAGAAGAAATGTTTCACAAAAGAAGAAATCGTGCATTGTATGTTTTGGGAAGAAAAAAAGTAGTTCATGTAAATTATTATTTCTTGGTTTTGCTTAACTTCTCTCAATTTCTTTCTTTGATATTAGATTTTCATTATTTTAAAGTGGACACTCGTCATTGTCAGCAAATGTTTTTGTTAAGAGGATAGCCTACAAGTCTGTCATAGTAATAGTGCTACAAAAAAATAAAAAACAAGCAATATTAAAAAGCAAAAGTATCATTATGATTAAGAGTCACTCCCTCACAAACCAACTTGTTTCATGATTAACTTTGCAATGGCATATCAAAGCAAAAAAAAAATATGTAAAAATTGTTTTTTTTTATCTCTTTCTATACCATTTTTAGAAAAATCATGTTAATCATAAGCATTTATAATTTCTTAGGGGGTGATTAAATTTCACCCAAATTATTTGAGTTACTAGTACATAATTAATGAAATGTTAGCCTTAATTTGAAGGGTAGATTAGACTCAATCATTGGATCTCTGTTATTCTTATCCCACATTAATTAAGTGACCCCTTAGGATTTAAATGTGTCCACTGGACCACTGATCCCATGTACTCTATAGATTCAAATTTGCCTTCATTATACGCAAATCCAAAAAGAATTCAGAGGGACATTATTCATGTCCCTTCCTCCACAAAGAAAGATAATTAGAATTACAGTGACTCTCATATGTAACCCAACCACAAGATCTAGAAACTGAAAAAAGAAGAAATTTATTTAGAAAATAATAATTTAAACTCAATTATTTTAAAAATAGTTATTAAAAATAATGCAAAGGTGCGCATGAAATTGAAACATTGGACAAGACCACAGTTTTGGTAAAACTACCTGGCATGTTGCTAATATTGAGGTGTTGCTCTTGTTATTAAGGACAGAGGAAAAGACAGCACATGCATTCGCAATTTGTAAGTAACCCAACCACAAGATGTTGAGAGGGTATAGACCACCTTTTATGTATAAGCAAGTTGTGGTGTACTATTCCACTCATCTCTTTCAAATGGATTTTTCCAAAAAGAGGGTATCTTTACTGTTTTTTAGCAATGTGTTTAAAACTTTTATTTTTCCAAATGCATGTTTTTTATTTGATAAAACTTCTGATTCTCTATTGTTACAAAAAACAGTTTTATTAGCTAGCTGCAATTTACAACCGATGTAACTATAAGATCTAAATGACACTTAAAATCCTACTCATTGGGAACGGTGGTAAAATGCTCTGTGTTAAGGAAAAAGTCATTTTAAAATAAATGTCACTTATTTAATGATTGTTGTTTTTAATAATTATTATTATATATACTACTTTCAACACCTTAAGATTAATTTAATAAAAATATAATATTTTTCAATAGTTTTATTGTATTTTTTTATTTGTGTACAAAAATATTAAATGAAATTTACTTTAAAACAAAAAGTAATCATTATTGTGTAGGTAACTTATCTACTACTATCAAAATATCACTTAGACATTCATTACTAGTATCATAAAAAAGATTAAATGAACTACTATCATTAAAAAGATTAATTATTATGCCCCTATCATTTATAAATCTTTTTACACTACGGTTAATCCATAAAACTTTTTATATTATCAATTTTTTATACTATAAATTCATTATAATCATCTGTTTTCTACTTAATTCATAAAACTTTTTATACTAATCATCTGTTTTCTACTTAATTCATAAAACTTTTTATACTATCAACCCATAGAACTTTTTATACTATCAATTCATTACAATCATCCATTTGTGTGATTATAATAATAGTCAAATTCCTATAACAAATCATGTGTTATTTTACTTGGGATTATAATAAAATTCAAACTTCTTAAACAAGTCAATTGTTGTAATTAACTCACAATGAAAAATATTTTTACAATGTCAGATACATTTTAATTAAATTCTATCATAAAATTAAGAAGATTGACACATTATTTCATTTGGAGTTTACCTTCTTTCTCGTAGTAGAGCAGCTGTAACTGAAACTTACTTATAGTTTAAATTTGTGCAGCAATCCTCTGAGCTGGGCCTTTTTTGACAACTCTTAACATACATTAGCTACCATATTCTCATTTATAAACTTTATTTCATTTCATCGTTTCATTCTACAACATTCTAATCGTTCCATCTTATACACTTGGGTGCCCAAAAAAAAGGCTCAAATATAGGAATAAAGACCTAATGAAAATCATAAAACCAACCATGAGAAATACAATCATGAGATCACATTGAGAAGAATCATATTGTCAACTGTAGTAATTGAATCATCAAATTTACATCCAATCGGGTTTAAAATTGGGTGAATACAAGAGTGATTAGCTATCGCTCTCCCTGTGTTATGCAGACATCAAATTTACATCCAAACGGGTTTAAAATTGGGTAAATACAAGAGTGATTAGCTATCACTCTCCCTGCGTTATGCAGACGACATAAGCGGAGAGCTCAATGGTACAAAATCGAGAACAAAACTTGGCTTAATCCGCACAAACAGGAGATTGCACTAACAGCTATGTAGGTTTATTTCCTCTTGTATTTTTCCTTGAAGACTATTTATTCTTGTATTTATCAACAGCTAAGGCTGCAGCTCTGTACCATGACGCTGTGGCATAAGCACCCGGATCAGGAACCGATGACTGAATCTCTTGAGGCACGTAAAGTGTACGCCCAGCCTGCATAAGCTTCCTTATTAAATCCACTAATAATCTCTTATGAAATATCATTTGTTATTTGGCGTTGTTTTAAAACTGTTGGTAAATGGTTATTAATGACAATGATCTTCTGAGAGGATCCAGAAGCTATCATACAGAAACACACATATACATGACAATGTCTAAAATATAGGCCATTAGGATGAAAGCACTTCATAATTAACCATTAAACCAGGCTCACTTAAACACAATTGATAGGCTTTATGAGTTGCATATGGTAAAAAGTAAATGCAACTGCACAGGAAAATTTTCACAGATCCAGAAAGAAAAGAAAAAGACCAACAAACTTGACAGAACGGTCTTGGGTCTAAATCCTGGCCATCGAGAAAACAAGAAATTCGATATAAAATTTACCAAAGAGGTCTAAATCCTGGTCATCAAGAAAACAAGAAATTCGATATAAAATTTACCGAAGAGACCCCAGCATCGCTCATTGAAAACCTAACCCAATTCAACATCCCTTACTCCCCATTTTTCTGGAAAACAAAAAAGAGCATAAAAGATTTGACCCTATGTAGGATCCAAAACTTATATAATCTTGAACCATAACAAAACCCACAAGAAACAATCCCGATATTTAAAAACGATTATAAGGGGGAGAAATTTAGCTAGGGGCACATAAATATTCCTTTATAAATCTTTCTTCTATGACAATCAACGAAAATTTGAATATGGTCAAATTCTACATACTAATTTTAGGATCATATTTTTGGTCACTATAAATGCAAGTGAGAGTTACACTATCAGAGGATCATGTAGAATTTTATTCATTATAGTGTGAAAAGTTAAATAGTGGATTATATTCAAACTCTGATTTATAAGGGGGAATCTACACTAAAAAAGTTCCATCTCTTAACAACGAAACAATATTAAATGTCACCTTTGCTCGCATTTTCTTGGTTGACTCGGCTCCATCAAGTGCAGCCTGAGATGAGGTAAGAAAAGCAGTGGCAGGATCATCACCAGAATATAGTCTCTGTAAAACCAAAGCATAGTAAGTAACACTAAATTACGTCATGGGACTAACAAAGCAAATGAACAGCTCTGGTCAGCACCTCTTCAAGTGATGACAGTGCTGGGATAAGGGCATCTAGCAATGTTCTGTAACCAACTTTAGCTCCCCCATATTTACTAACAGCATCAATGGCCGCCGCAAGTGCTTTAGCCCCTGAATCAAAACACTCGTAAGGGATGGACAGTCCAACCAAATCGAGATAAAACAAAGGAAAAATAAATGTAAAACTCTGATTGGATGCTGCTGGATTTGGATAATATTTTACATTGTTTTGATGTGATAACAGAATGGGAGCTTGTTTTCAGCTGTGCACATGCCGCCTTACATAAAATTGAATATCTAGAAGAAAACAAACTAGTAAGAAATTGACAATAATTAGACAGCATAAATAATTTAACTTCAAAAAAGGCGAAGGAATGATACATGATCCCACTTGTTCCTCCCATTGATTTTCCAATTGTTGATCCAATTTCACCTACAGTTTCTGCAGCATCATTCAGAGGGTAACTGCAAAAACAACAGTTCAAATTAACAAGGCTATTGCAGCAACCGCCTTTGCAGTTTCTCAAGGGTACCAAGTGTTATTTATAAAGCGAAAATAAGAAAGTACTTGTACAATTAGACTAATATATCCCATAATCTAATACAAGAGCTAATAATTGGTCATGGACCAACTTGACGTATTAGCACCAATCATTCATGATTATATTAAAGCAAGTAACCGAAGAATATATCTAAAGGCTAAGCAGCATATAGACCAGACTTACTTTTTCATGTCCTCAAGAACTGCCTTTGCACCTTTGTACATCTATATAGAAGATAAACCAGTTACAAGAAACGTAAATGATACATCAACAGTTACATTAAACTATATAATAAATAAGAAAACAATTTTGAGGATAGGCTCACAGTTGACCCACAGTCACCATCACCAACTTTAGAGTCCCATTCATTTAGAGTGTCTTTGAGATGTGTAAGTGCAGTTGCAGCAGCTACAATGACTAGCTCAAGAAGTTGTCCTTGCTCAGTTAGTTTCAGAGGCCGACTCTGTGGCTTACATGAAACAAATATGGAACCAGATTTCACAAATTATATTAGTATATAAGAGATGGGTAGGGGGACTTCTGACCAAAAAGAAAATCCCTCTAGAAGTGGCCTTCTAGAGTGGTACATAATTGGTAGTAGGAAGGAAAAAACAATAAATGGTTGAAGTTGAACTATTGAATTAAATATCATGAAAAGTTGAGCATGAAATTTGCTGCAAACACTATTTTCTGTTAACCACGTGAAGCCTCAAGGTAACTGGAAACAAGATTTGTTGGAGATAATGAATATATTAAACACAAATGAAATATGATTATCATCTTAATTTGTCTCATGCCTGCACCAGAAATGTCCTATTATGTAAATGTAAAATTAATTCCGACGGTATACACACAGGGTTATTTCGAGGTATGTGTAAACTTCTAGTGAAATAAATTATTAAACCTACAAAGATATCAAATTGCAGCTAACAAAGCTTAGTCCCAAACATAAAAAATATCAAGTGCTAGTCAGCAGATATGAGCAACTAAAACAGAAAAACCACTGGATAACCCAGGCCAATGATGCCCACATAATCTGATTAAGAATCCACATGAACTTCTTCATAGGATTGTTGTAATAAAACATAATTTTTCCTTGACCATATTCTTATATTACAACTGTTTAATGTCATAGAAAGAAATAACACAATTTCCTCGGATATACCTCAACAATCTTTGCTGACCGAGGTCGTGGAATTGGAACAGGAATCTTTGCAGGCAGACGATTACCTTGAAAGAAAGAACAACTTCTAAAGCTCAATGTTGAGTAATTATTTAGCTATCATTAACATCACAATTGAATGTATATCTTAAAGAGGTATAAAGACATGTTGTTAAGAGCAATACAGATTACTAAAACAAGAGATAGTAAAATCTCAATGCAATAAAATTGATTGATGACACCAATTACAATAAATTACTGACCACTAACTCCAACAGGCCAATAAGGAGCTTTCGTCTCAGCGTCCAATCGTTGAAGAATAGACCGGTCAGCCCTCATGATAGAAATTGATAAACCTGAAGGGAAATGACATGATAATCAGAACTGCTAAATGAAACTCACAAAAGAGTTGACTGCCATGACATTATCTATAGCAACAAACCTTCCATATCAAGAGAAGTCATGAATGACCCAGTATAAACTCTATCAACAGCCAATCCGTGCTCCACCATCAATTGAGGAACTGCTTTTCCTGCTGCAATCATTAGTTCCATTAAGGGGGTGCCGCCTAATCTGCATTTGAAGAATCTTTTAGATAAATAAATCGTCTCTTTAAATGAAAATTTTATATACTCAAAAGCAATCCCACGCATCAATAAAATGAAAGAAAGCATTTCCAATCTAATATTTGAAATTTCAAATAATGACGATTATTGAGTTTGGAAAATCACTTCTTAAAATTAACATGTATGCTCATTTTTTAAATTGAAAAATGAATTTGCAGCATATTAGAGAAGTTTAAAGAAGAGAGATAAAAAATAAAAAATAAAAAAATAACCTTCAAGAATCCAACAGCTATCTAAAAAGAGTCAATTAATTTTCAATAAAATAAAATAATCAAACCGCGCAATTATTCTAATGCAACTTCTTGTTGCAGACAAGATTGAAGTTATCTTTAACCAATGTTTGGTAATGAGAATATCTACCCAACCCACTGCACTCAGAGACATGAAAGTTTTAATGAAATGTTGTGTGTCCCAATAATAATACACATTTTATACGTAAAAAGCTTTAAAAATAACTTAAGTTCTCGAGCCTTAAACTTAGAAACCTACCCATTGACCATGAGTACCACTCTTTCACCCCGAGATATTGGAAGATAGTTTGTTTCCTGCAAATATTTGTAAAAGAAAAATATTGCAACTCATTAGAATGATAATTGCACTGCATTTGAAATACAGACACAGTCACAGAGCTTCACTTAAAGTGAGATAATGTTTGACAAATAAATGCAATTCTTGGGTCAAACTATGCACATACCAACCTCCTTTAAGATATAGAATCTTTATGCAGCTAAGAGAATGGGTTATATCATGGGTTTTCTATGTCAAATATTAAGTTGTGGAGGGCTTTATCATTTGAACATTCTACAATTTTAATTGGCCGTATTTCATGTAAATTGAATTCATAGTATAAGTTGTCATCTGAGTGTTTTCCTGTCCCTTTCTTATTTTTATAAATCATGTACTGATATGATCTGGTAAAACTTCATTCGGTTTTGTTGGTACCACCAACATAAAAATAAATCTTACACTAAAAGAACTGAGGTTAATGGGTAGTTATTTGACAGTAAAAACCCATTCAATCACTCAATTCCTTAAGGAGACATTTCAGTACTTTAAAATGAATAGAACGGAATAGGGCAAAGTAGAATAGAACAAAGCTTTCATTGATGAGATAATTTACAATGGAACATAACAAAGTTTACATTCCATCGGTTGAGAAGTGGACCAAATGGATTGTATTATAACTATTTATTAGATTTTATCCTTATTTTAAACATAAATATGACAACAAAATATAGTTTATACACCAAAATTTTCAGCCCAATTATTTTTAAAAAAAAAAACTGTTTTCTGTTAAAAGAAAAACAGACTAGCTTTCTCCAAGATGCCTGTGTATGGAATGCCAAACAATAAGAATAAAATAGACACGTAGGGAGAAGTTCTTAGCAGTAAAAATAGTAGAATAGAAATTTTTCAATGGCAAATAGAGAGAAGAGGAAAAAAGAGCAAAAAAGAATCTTATAGTACACCAAAACTCCAGTCCTTTTAAATATTTAAAAAATATCCTAATGCAGTCAACAAAAAATATTCATGGCTAAATATCAGTAATCTCTTTTATCATTTAATACAGTCAACAAAAACTATGCATGCCTAAACATCAGTAATTTCTTTTATTATTTGATGAGGTTGCTGATGCACTGTGTTTCAAGAACACGGAGAACTTTCCATACAATATTGTGGCATACCTTGGACAATATTTTATTCAGAAGCAGAGAAACCACTGCCTCTACAGGCTGTATATCAGTCACATGCGCACCAGGTTCCCCGTGCTGTAAAGAGGTAACATTTGTTATCACCGGAAAATGAAATTTGGATGAGAAAAAAGGCAGTGAAGACAAACCTCAATCATTTAAAATATAAACATGGTTAAATTACTCTATAGATCCTTATAGCCTGTTAAATTTGTATATAAGTCCCTAAAATTTAAATGCTTTTAATGGAATCTCACAGTTTTAATTTTTTAATTTTTAAATGTCCTTATATATTTAAAAGCATGAGGACTCCTTTAAAAACTTTTAAATCTTAAAGGATCTATATAAAAATTCAATGAAACTACAAGTACTTATAGTATAATTCAACCTATAAATATCAAATAATTCCCGCAAAATACATTTAAAGAATAATGTGTTAAGAAAGGGAAGTACTAAATGAAATGAATAGGATGGATTTTGACAGCCGTGGCTTGTTAACTGAAAACCACAAGAAAAATAACAGAAAGAACATATTTCAATGAAAAGAATATATTTGCTTATTTATGAGTGAAAAGAATAATTTGACTGCTTTCTGAGGGAACGTTTTTAAAAGGGACGGGTTAGGCCTTAATATTTGCATTGCTGGAAAAGCTTTAGAGTTTTATGGTTTATATTTTTAATGTTGAGGTGTCAAAGTACAGGAAACTTACAATTCCAAGACCAACTTCCATTTGTGTTGGCCCAAAACGATCTGTAAAAATCCTACCAGGGAGTGTGCACGCTTTTAAAGCAACGCCCATTGTTCCCACGTTTTCAGACGCATATCTTGCTTCCGCAGCAACATTACCAAGTGAAAGACCAGCATCTGCAGCAGCTCCTGCAACCTGCCTCGCCAAAAACATAAGTATATTAAACATTTATAACAACTTGGCACTATTGTAAAACATGTTGTCAGCTATATTTAAATTTCTAATTTCAAGAAAGTCTCCAATATTATAACATGAAAAGGAGTAGTTTAAACTGCATTTAAATACAGAAGGGCCGAATAAAATGCGAAAGAGCGGAAATGGCTTTGCGGATGAACCTTATGAACCAGAATAGTCCCCGCCAATCCTCTTCTTCCGGCCATCTCTAGAGGTGGAGGTATAGCACAATCATCCTCAACAATCACACTCTGCACAGTGAAAAAATCTTATGACACTTATAAACTACCCATTTTAATTAGAAAGAAAACACTTGCCAACTAAACATACCTCTACTTTATAACCTTCAGATTTTGCTTGCTCAGCAGCCAAACCAAAGTTCAAACGATCACCAGTATAGTTCTATCAATACCCAAAATCGAACACTATGAATCCAGAAAAAATAAGCAAAATCCTCATAGCTCTTCACAAACTGGTCTAACTTGTACAAAAACCATACTCAATGTCTAATCACAGCTCAAAGCTGATGCAATATCGATTTGTTATATGGGATACATCTTGTCAAATACTATTTTAATATTTTTTAAAACTATTTTTTTTCACTACTTATTGCCTTCTCCTAGGCAAGACAACAATTTCAAGTGATAGGACACCTAATCATAAAAATGTAAGCAATGCATCCTTTGACGCACAGTCTCTTCTATTGGTTGAAATTCACATGGGTCATACCAAAAGTACTTGGGATTGACATGATTTTAAGGGACTCATTTGAATTTCAACCAATAGGATTGAGTGTGATGGGAAATGTGTATTACATACTGTCATGCTAGCACTCCTCAGCTAACAAAAAATTCTAGCATAGTGCTAATGTGAATTGTACTTGGGAAAGCAAGGTGCTTATGTATTAGACAAGGAAAATGAATTATACCTTTATAATAAGAAGACATCCCATTGGGCCAGTTACAGTTCGGATCCCCTAAATTTGAATAATAACAGGTGCATTGGTATCATTAAAGAGTTTGATTTGTTCTATAATAACTAGAAGTACAATATGCATATCTCTTCCAGTAATAAGAAGCATACAGCAAGAATAGCATCAACAGTTGGACTAGCAAAGACATCGCCACATATGGCTGCAGTCAGCATTCCTTCCCCCACAAATCCAGCGTGAGCAGGCTCATGGCCACTTCCACCTCCTGCAGCATGAAATGCATAATTACCACTCTCTTATTGAAACCCAAGTGGTTATAGAGCAAATAAAGATGTGAAATCACCCTAAGATATGTTTTGCAATTACATGGTTAACTATCAATGACCACTCACCAGATATATGACAATATCAATGATCACTCACCAGATATGACTGCAACTTTATCATATGGTGGACCAGGATAAACATCTGCACGGAACACAACCTTCACCTACATTCAAGGAGAATAAAAAATTTTAAAAGTAAAGTCTTCAGGAACTCTCATGCATTCATAATCACATTTATCATATATATGTACTCATACACTAGGATATCCATCTAAAAACTGCAATGTAGGATATGTCTCCATAAGACCATCAATGAATTCAGTCTCAACATCTGCAATGAGATTAAAGAAAAGAAAAATTATTCAACTTCCAATAAGATAACCATTCATTCATTTTTATCATTTTTTGCATTTGGTCTAATTAGTATTACATTACAAAAGCAGTTAATAAAAAATTAACAGAGTCTTTACATCTGTGCTAGCAAGGAAATAGAGAATCAATCCTCACTACAGTGTTTTGAATCAGAATATTAAGAACACAATCAGTGATTTTTATAAATCAAAGCTCAGCATGGTTTAGTCAAAGAGGATAGTCAGAGCTTTTCATGTTCAAATAAATAGCAAAAAAACAGAGATGACAAGAACATGAACTGAACCGAAAACTGAACCGAAGCAATTACAAAGCACAAACTAAACAACTATGACCCAAACTATTCAAAGCACGCAAAATTTTGATGCCAGTTAAAGTAAACCTAGGTTACACGGGAACTGCATCCAATAATATGAATACAAAATGTTTTCTTCAGTGTGATTCAGCTAGAGACTAATGCTAATTCAATTCAGTTTCAAAAAAATTAAAATAAACCAAAATATTGAAGTCGGCAAAATGAAGAGAACAAAAACAGTTAGTACATGACAAGAATCCGAACGGAACAATTGCAATTTTCAACTGTAACAGTCAATACTATTCTAGCAATCAACGCAATCCAAATGCTAGAACAATTCAAGTTCGATCACAATAAAATAAATTCAACAACATGTTCATAGCACGATTCTGAACTGAACGACTGCAAAAACGCACAGAGCATTACAAATTTCAACAGCAACTATCAAAGAAAACCAGATTACAGATAAATCGCATCAAATAGTACAAATACAAACAACGATTTACCTCATTCGAAGCTCGTGAGATAGAAATGCTAAAACAATTCAAATCCGAACATATCAAGAATTAAAGTCAACAAAATATTCAAATCGCATCAATTTTCAACTATAACCGTCAAAAGAAGCATCAATTCGGAAACGAATTTCATGATTTCATCACGCTGAGAAACTGAAAATAGAAAAAAAAAATTGAGAAACTGCACCATTCGGATCGTTGATGAGTTTCTTAGCCAATGACATCGCGACGAGTTACGAGTTACGAGTTATCGGAACGGTGAGGCTCGTGTTGTTGTTGAATTTGAAGAGTGATGGAAAATGAAAACCCTAGAAACGGTTTTGCATGAAACAGTGATGAGAGAAAAAAGAGAGAGTGAAAGAGAAGAAGAGTTGTTAATACTTCGTTGGTTTGGTGAAAGTGTGGGGTGTGGTTATTTATACGCACGCGGAGAAGAAGGAAAGCGAGGGAGAGTCGATAGTTTTTCTTCTTTCAGAAAGAAAAATAAATAAAATTAAAATGTTTTTGCTTTATCCAAACTTCAGTCTCCCGATACTCACGCACGCTCGTTCAATAAAAATGTTTTTCTTGTTTTCAGCAATGCATTGATTAAATATTGAGATTTAATTATAGTAAGATAATTCAAAGACTTTAATTAATGATTCTTTGTCCAAAAACAATTTTAACTAATGATTTTATAAATGAAACACTCTTTTTTTTAAATCACTGCTTCTTTTTTTAATGTGAAGCTGCTACTTTAGTTCTCTAAAATTGTTTCTTTTTTCATTTTTAGCATTCATGTGTTTGTTTATCTTATATTTATTTAATTTATTCTTTTAAAATGTAAAACTGCTACTTTAGTTCTCATAAAAATAGTTTCTTTTTTCATTTTTAGCACTCATTTTTTTAAGGTTAAAGTTCAAAAGAAATAAAAAACAACAGAAATAATTTTAGAATTGAAGCTCCTAACTATCATAATTCACTCAATGTATAATATAATCTCAAAAAAAAAATTCTTTAAAAGTTATGAATTATCTATTTGTGACTTTAAAATTGACTAAAGCATCCGCATAAAAATTGATCTCTCTATAGAAATGAATCATCTTCACCTCTTCAAATATCGTTGCAATCCACAAAATTTGTTTCACCAAAATGAAAATTTTCAATCTATTATTTTCCCTGAGTTAATCATTCTGATGACTATAGTGAAATTCACGTTCAACTCCACTTTAGAGAAATCTAAAGTCTTAGCAAGAGAAAGACATTCACAAATGCCTCATGGTTTCGTTTTAACAAACTATGGTTACCTAAATGTTTGGAGAAACTGTCGTTACAGTCACCCTTCGTACTTCTGATAACACCTTTGCAACTTGAGAACCTTTCAACTATGCAAGCTCTATATGTAATTAATTTCATTCAACCTCTCTCTAGAGGCTTTCAACCACCATAATGATATGTTAAAGATTTATCAAGCATATGAATTGTGATTAAGGACTATAAAAAGATATTAAAAGATTTACATTCATATTAATTTCTAAAGAAATCTAATAAATGAAATTAATTCTAAAACTAAATTTACTAATTAGATCTAATTAATCCTAATTAACATCTAATATGCCTAAAAGATCATTACGTTCAAGTAAAAAATGTGTTATGAGACAAAAAGTTTAAACCCTAATTAAACTCTAAGTGCTAGCAAAAATCATGTATTTTAATGTGTAAGAAATGGATTAGAATTTGTAAAAAAACTAAACACGAGTATTAAAATATAGTAAGCAAAACAAGGATTAAAACAAAATTCCTGCAGGAGTGGATTGGCTCAAGGGTGTGCACTAAGCAAAATGGCATTAGGCCTGCATTAGGCAACCCCAAGGAGTACTCTTGTTGTACTCATCAAAAAGGGAGGTGTGCCAAGCAAAAATAGGGGTGCATTGATGAAGTTTCATGGACCTATGGGTAATAAGGCCCAAACTGAAATTGCCAAGGCAAAAATTGAGTGGAAGAAACACTCAATACAATTCCTTCATCTTGTTCATGGGCTCACGCTACTTCTCTCTCAAATATACCTCCGTCGAAATTTCTGCTCCGCCACGTCGGAGGTGGCGGAGTTGTCCCGAACAACCAAAGATCGCCACTAATCTACTCCTCTCAATTTCCTCTTTCCCAATCTCTCGCCAACTCATCTTAATTCCTAGCCAAAATCCCAAATCGAAGCGAAAAGTGTATGAACCATAAGAGCAATTTCAAGAATTAAATGGAAACGAAGGGGAATCAAGCCACTCCACTATGGGGTTTCAATTCCCCTCGCTCTAATTTACATCGCGGTAAAGAAAATTAGAGCAAAAAGGAGTGGAATTGAAGACCTACTTGCGAGACTGTGGTTTGTCTCATAATTTGTTGAAAGAGAAGTTGGTGAAGATAAAGAATAAGAGAAAACGAGAGGTAAGCCTTCAATCTCTTTCTTTTACACTAAAATGCTTCTTCTTCTTCTTCGTACCTAACCTGTAGGAATATCTGTTATTGCTTTGTGTTCTTGTTGTTGTGTATGAGATGGAGAGTGGAATATGATGGATTTTGGTGGCGAGAATGATTCTTGATGATGAAGGAAGTTGCAGAGAAAAAATTCAGAGAGATTGAGAGTGATTTCTAAAAATGTGATTGTTGATGAACTTTGAATGGTGATTGTTAATAATGATGCTTGAGTTGTTGAAATTGGATTGTGTCTAAGTTCAACCAAATTTAGAACTTCAATGTGAAGTTCTATATGGTGATGAATATGAACCTTGGTGATGGTGAGAGGGTGAAGGAAAGAGAGAGAACTTGAGAGAAAAATGGTGGGAGAATAATGGTGAAAGGAATTAAGTTATGAATTATGTTAGTTAACCCCTAAAATTGTGAGAAATAACATGTTTATATAGACTTTGTAAATGAATGAACACCCTTGGATTGTGATCTAAGTAATGGGCTTATCAATAATGGAAAATTAATTTAAGCTTTAGTTGTGGATCAGTAATTTCAACCCTTGGATTAATTGTTTAAAATGGTTAGGATTGAATGAAAATTTGATTGAAAATAAAAGCTAGAATTTGTGTTTATTTTGAGGTTATTTGTGTTAGTTTGGCAGTTATGGTAGTTAAGGGTTAATTAAGTAATTGGATGATTGTGGATGCAAAGGTAGTTAGAAACCAATGGTGTTTGATTTTAGAAAAAGTACCAAGTTGAAATATAAGAAAAATGGTCACTAGTAATTAACTTGAATTTAAATGCTTTTGCCTTTGATTTTTAAACCACTTTTGTCTTGAATTTTTGGTGAATTATCTCATGACTTTAAGTGTTTTTGAGAAGTGGTTTTGTATTAAAAATAAGCATTTTTGAATGGTGTAGACTCATGAATCAAATTCTGAATTTTTGGGCTTGAAACAATGTTAGAAATTGTTGAAAAATAATCCATAGAAGTGAAGCTTGATATAAGATAGAACTTGTTGGAAACTAGCACTTGACATAATCATGACACAAGTTATTTGTGATGAACGAGGATGAATACCTTGATCAAATGCTTGTACAATAGGTCTAGAAAAATTCAGGAGTCAAAATCGACTCAATGGTGGAAAGTTGACCAAAAGTTAATTATTGACCAAAAAGTCAACTATTTGACCAAAAAGTCAATTGTACCTAAAAGATGTAATTTTTACCCTCTTTTCTTGTAATCCATTCTTTTGATTTGTATCTCAAGAAATATGCGTTGTACCGTAAATTTCAATAAATGAATAAAATCTTTCTATTATTCTAACTTTGCCTTTTTCTTTGAATCCAAACAATCATCTGAATTAAGTGACAATCATTTCAATCTCCCCGCTGACCATGAATCTCAAATAAAAAGATGATTCACATCACAAGTAATAAACCTGAATAATTACCATATAATATCCTCCTCAAAAATCCACTTAAACAAAATAAATCTATTATTCCCGAACCTTTGGCCTGAACTTGTTACAATATGCAAATGCCGATGAATGACCTAAATTCATGATCAAATAGACAAATGTATGCACATGAACAAAACCATAAGCCATGAGAGTTGAATGAGGAAGTAGGGAAAATTTTTGGATATGACAATGGGCATGAATCTTGAACCCGTACTCTCTTCGGGTTCAAAAACAATACAACCTCATCCAAAAAATTGCATTCTTGCAATCAGCGCCATGCTGAACTAACCCCTTACACCTAAAACATCTTAGAGAAGCAAAAGCTCCTTATCCATCTATTTAAATCCCTCTCCTGCTGGAAAGCGGTTAGAAAAATAAACGAGCACCAACAGTTTTTCACACACATGTCACATACCAGAGAATAGACAACATTACACAATCAAGCTAAATGGACCAACCTGTTCTGATACCACAAAAGTAACACCCTAAAACCACAATTCATAATTGAAAGGATAAAATCCATATTTTAGAATGCTACTCAAACATAACATGCATACTTTCCAAATATTTTCAAAACTCACAGAGGAACTCAGTAAAATAACATAAACTTCAATTATCTCATCATCGAAAAAACTTAATAAAATCAACATAATCCAATGATTAATTCCAAAATAAATAAAAATACCACATTCCTCGATGTTATAGATCAGAGCATTAAACCAACTAAATAGAGTAAATGATAAAATGAACAAAGAAAAACAACACGACCGTCTTCCAACTCACAACAACACTTACTCCTCTTGAGTATTTGTACAACAATGTACAGAGTAACACAAAACAAACAAGAAAGGGGTGAGAATACACTTAAATATATTAACGATGTAAAAGAATGCAAGGGTAGTTTAATCACATAATCAATAATGCACATTCAAGTGCGCACTGGCACAACAATTAATTTCACATAGTTTTTATGTATGCAATGTAACTTATAACTCGACTCTATACATGTGGTACCAATTTGGACATCATAGGTTTGTTATTGAACTCATCCACTCAAAAATGGTTCCTCATTCGAACCGGATCCCCGCTTCTAAACCCCGGGTCCACACTTCTGAACCCTAGACAATCACATGTCCCCACTTCTCAACCCATGATTCACCTCTTTTAACACACTAACATAATATGATACATGACATACAAAGTAATGCAACAACAACTATTATAGTTCCACTTCTAACCATAAATAATATGTAATACACCATTCACAGTAGTCCACACTTTTGAACAATACACCTCAACACAACACATATAATTATATT